CAAGAGTATTGGGGTTTGTTTGAGCTGAAATGTGATGTCAGTGCATCTACACAAGGGTCTTCTGAGACTTGGGGGGGCCAATTTATACTGGGTGTGGTTTGAGCAGGACTCCTTCCCTTCCTGTGGACACAGAAACCCAGGACAACCTCTAGGACAGGTAAAAAGTCAGGGCGTTTTTTCTTAATGCTTGAGTTCATGCTTCTGGATTGCAATACCTAAGTGGTGTGCAAAGAACACTTCCTCCCTGCCTGACCAGCACTGAGACATGCAGAGTGCTTTGCCATGTTCCCATTAACATCGTTTGGACTGAAAGTGAAGAGAATGTTTGCTGTCTAACCCCAGCATGAACCATGAGAAAACTTGGAGTATTACGAAGGTTGCTTTTTGTTGCCTCTCTATACCTACAGAACCAACAAGGGGCCCTCTAGTGACTTTGTCCATCACTGTGGATGTAAAAATTACTAGTTATTTAAAAGCATCATTTGTTTTTGCGTTTGATTACAGAGATTCGTACCCACATTTTACTGATCTAGTTCTTAACCACTTGCCTACCGGGCACTTATACCCCCTTCCTTACCAGGCCAATTTTCAGCTTTCAGCGCTGTCGCACTTTGAACGACAATTGCGCTGTCATGCAACATTGTACCCATATGAAATTTTTATAATTTTTTTTCACACAAATATAGCTTTGTTTTGGTGGTATTTATTTGCTGCTGGGTGTTTTATTTTTTGCGCTATAAACAAAAAAAGAGCAAAAAATTTCTATTATAAAATTTAGCAAACAGGTAATTTTTCTCCTTCACTGATGTGCATTGATGAGGTGGCACTGCTGGGCACTTGTGGGCGGCACTGCTGGGCACAGGTGGGTGGAACTGCTAGGCACCGATCATCAGGGCACTGATCATCTGATCTGATGATCTGTGCTGATCCCTCCTCTGACAACTGCCGGTTCTCGGCAGTAGTTTCCTCATGCTGTGACAGCGTGAGGAAGGTGCAGCCGATAACCGGCAATTGCATTTCCCGGTGATCAGTGTGTCATTGGACACAGCTGATCACGTGATAAAAGGCCTCTGTGATTGGCCTTTTACCATATCCATCGTGATCAGCTGTGTCCGTAGGGTACGGCGATCACGAAGATCATCGGGGGCGCGCACGAGAGCGCGTTCTGGGAGATGGCATATGTTGTCCTCCCAGAACTGGCCAGCCGCAGTGAAGCAGTCCTTCGGCTATCTGCGGCCGGCAAGTGGTTAATAGGCAGTTGTCAAAAGAGGAATATAGGAGCTGCCCATGTTGACTTGTTTTTAATGGAGTAAAAACTGCAGAACTTTCACCCTTGCTTCATTGCATATTGCTTTTGTGAGCACACATGATTTTAGGCAAAAAACAAAATGTCCCAATACATTAACTTTTTTTTAGTGAATTGCTTCAACCAAGAAATATCTAACCAGTTGATCTAGGCAAGTGTCTTTCTAGCAAAACAAGGAGGACATTGACAGCCCCTAAGCTTTACGGTGGCAGATTCCACATTTCTGTTCTGACAGGTTCTCTTTAAATTACTTGTAAGCAAAACATTGAACTGTAGAATTATAGAAATATATGCAAGAGCCATATGTTTTACACAAATATTTTCTTTAACAGGTATCGAGTTAAAGATAAATCTGATAGAGCTACAGTTGAACAGGTATTATATTTTCTTTTTAATTTGCCATAGAACTATATTCTACAAAAACAGTTGTTTTAAGAGCTGTATTCTTGTCACTAGCAGTGGACACAGCATCAAGATCATTCAGTATGGCTGAAGTAAATGGGTCATGGAGTTCAGTGTCAGAGGTTAAAATGAACCTGTGCTTTGCCCATCGGAAGCACAGGCTTGTTGGTTTCAGGGATTTTGTTTAACTTTTCAGATGAACCACTTGACCTCCAGCAATTTTTACCCCCTTCATGACAAGGGCATTTTTGCTGTTCACTACTTTAACTGGCATTTGTTCGGTCATGCAACACTATTAACCTAACTAAATTTTTATCATTTTTTCACACAATCAGTGCTTTCTCTTGGTATTCTATCACCACTGTGTTTTTATTTATTTTTTTTTTCTATATAAACAAAAAAATACTGACATTTTTTTAAAAATTTAAGTTTTTCGTCGTTCCTGTTTTAAAATTATCTTTCTTCACAAATTGTTCATAAATTTAGGCCAAACTTTTTTTTTATTACATTTATTTGGTAAAAATAAAAATCATATAGTTTATTATTTAGTCTGTGAACACAATATCAGGACAGTCAAGTACAAATACCCCCTAAATTACCCCATTTTGGAAAGTAGACAGTCTGAGGCATGGCAAGTTTTTTGAAGTTGTAATTTTTTGTCACAATTTTTTTGAAAATGAAGAAATTTTAAATAAAATTTTTTTTATTTTTTTTTCACAGTTTGTTTTTTGTTGTCTTTACATACTGTCATCAGAATAGTTCAGTATTCCTATACTGACATTGTACTACTCTTGGAGGAGGGGGTGATCAGGGATTTTTAATTTTTTGTTTCATCAGTGATGATCACAGTTATCAGCAAGAGTTAATTTTCATTAATGGCTTTCCATTCATGGCAGCTTACTTTCTGTTGATATGCTGTAATTTGGCTACAGCTAATCACATAGCATAGGGTGTCAGGTACCATGACTGTTTACATTGTCATTGGGCAGCACAGTGTCTAAATGGTTAGCACTTCCGCCTGGCAGTACTAGGGTCGTTGGTTCGAATCCCAACCATGGCACCACCTGCCTGTTGCATGTTCTCACTGTGCCTGCGACGGTTTCCTTCCACACTCCAAAGACATGCTGTAGGTTAATTGGATCCTATCTAAATTGGCCCTAGTATGGATATGTATGAATGTAAGTTAGGGACCTTAGATTGTACGCTCCTTGAGGGTTACGGACTAATGTGGGTGCACAATATATGTGTAAAGCGCTGCGTAAATTGACGGCACTATATATGTACCTGTAATAAATAATAATTTTGATTGCTTTGACCATCCATAGCGACCACATGATACCCTGGCCAGGTACTGAGCGCTGTGAACCGTTGACACAACGGTTACGGGATCACACACCGCTGCAGATGTACTGTGAGCCAAGTGGCTAATGTTAGGATATAAGAGGAGTATTAAGAGTTAAAGCTGAGCTGCAGCCCATACGTTAGTAATTTTATTTTTATTTCGTGAAACCAATAGATTAAAGGGAAAAAAAGTACCCGGTTTCCCCATTCCACACACTCAATGTGGATAATAGAATCCTCTCTGCTGCATTATTGTATTCTGACATTGGAGAGACTTCCCTGCTATCAGAATACACTGATCAGTGCTGCTGGCACATCGAGAAGAACCCAACAGGGTGCTTGTACAGAGGTTGATCAGTAGATCGACTCCTACGCAACCAGCCTGTCCATACACTGTTTGAAATTTGGCTGATCCCTGCTGAACTGGCTGAATTTTATACAGTTATGGCTAGTTTAAGTTTTTTGCACAGTTGTGCAGACTCCTCTGCTGTGCTAAAAGTGCTTGCTTTGATTTCATTATGAACAGTGAATTTCTTACAATGTGCATTAAAAGCTGTAACAAATAGAGCCTGTCTCATTTCCTCCTGGAGGATGTCCAACATCTAGCCTCACAAACCTGACTGTCCTTGGGGGGGGCCCCCCCCCCTTTCACTGTTTGTTCATCTCTATGCAATGCAGAACACATAATTCAGAGACGCAGTGATAACATCACACGGTCTAAAATAAGTATTTAATAAATACAGAAATGTTTTATTTAAAAATGTAATTTTCATCCTGGTAAAGGAGGTTTGAGAAACCAGTGAAAGGAAAAGTTAGGCAGATTAAACGTGGCCTTTAAGGGCATATTTTATGGAATATGCAAATTTGTTAAAAAGAAACAGCTAATCATTGCTCTTAGTGACATGTTAATCCTATCTGCTAGGTGCTAGACCCAAGGACACGGATGATTCTCTTTAAGATGCTTACAAGAGGGGTAATATCTGAAATAAATGGCTGCATCAGCACGGGTAAAGAAGTAAGTATACAATAAGTGCTTTATGAAGTCTTGGCTCAATTTCTTTTGTGGAATTGTGTGTACATTTATGTGAATTTTACAGGCAATAAAATCATTATAGGGTTTGGAAATTGGTTTGGTGAATAAACATTTGCTGAGATTCTATAGCAGTGATGGCGAACCTTTTTGAGCCTGAGTGCCCAAACTGCAACACAAAACCAACTTTTTTATTTCAAAGTGCCAATACTGGAATCAATCACTTGCCTACCGGGCATTTCTACCCCCTTCCTGCCCAGGACAATTTTCAGCTTTCAGTGCTGTTGCACTTAACAATGACAAGTGTGCTGTCATGCAACACTGTAACCATATGCAATTTTTATCATTTTTTCACACAAATAGAGCTTTTTTTGGTGGTATTTAATCACCACTGGGTGTTTTATTTTTTGCACTATAAATGAAAAAAGAGCAAAAAATTAAAAACATAAAAGGTTTCCTTTGCTTCTATTCTAAAATTTTGCAAACAGGTAATATTTCTTCTTTGATGTGCGTTGGTGAGGCTGCACTGATAGGCAGCACTGATGGGCATTGATGAGGTGGCACAGATAGGTAGCACTGATGAGGCGGCACTGGTGAGCATTGATGAGGAGGCACTGATGATGCACTGATATGCAGGAAATGATGGGCACTGATAAGCGGCACTGACTGATAGCACGAACTGGAGGCACTGACAGACGGCACTGACCAACGGCACTGCTGGGCATCATTGATGGGTGGCACTAATGGGCAGCACTAATGAGATGTCACAGATAGGTGGCACTGATATGCGGCACGGATTGGTGGCACTGATAGGCGACACTGATAATGGGTACTGATAGACAGCACTGATAGGTGGCACTGACTGACATCACTGCTGGGCACTGACTGGCGGCACCGCTGGGCACTGACTGGCACAACCGCTGGGCACTGACTGGCAGCACTGCTGGGCTGCACTGATGGGCGGCACTAGTGGGCACAGGTGGGTGGCAGTGGTGGGCACAGGTGGGTTGGCACAGGTGGGTGGGCACTACTGGGCACAGGTGGGTGGCACTTCTGGGCACAGGTGGGCACAGGTGGGTGCACTGCTGGGCACAGGTGGGCGCACTGCTGGGCACAGGTGGGCGCACTGCTGGGCACAGGTGGGCGCACTGCTGGGCACAGGTGGGTGGAACTTGTGTGTGGCACTGCTGGGCACCGATCATCAGGGCACTGATGATCAGTGACCCTGATGATCGGTGCCGTTCCCTGCTCTGACAACTGCCGGTTTTCGGCAGTACTTTCCTCACGATCTGACAGCGTGAGGAAAGTGCAGCCAAGAACCGGCATTTGCATTTCCCGGTGATCAGCGTGTCATTGGACACGGCTGATCACATGGTAAAAGGCCGCTGTGATTGGCCTTATACCACGTCACGTGATCAGCTGTGTCCGTAGGACACAGCGATCACGGAGATCGCCCGGTGCGCGTCCCCGGGGGTGCGCAGGAGAGTGCGTTCTTCCTCTTCTTCCTGGCGTGCCCACTGAGATGGCTCTGCGTGCCAGCTCTGGCACGCGTGCCATAGGTTCGCCATCACTGTTCTATAGGGTTAAAATGCTAATAATTATATGTTGTCAAAATGTTGTGCTGAATGGTTCCCAGTGTGAAAGGTAGATATTCCCAAACTATTGGCATCTTCCTTTCCTGAAGTTAACCAACACAAAATGTCAGCCTGAACTGGCTAGAATAACTAGATTTAGGAAAAAAAATAGTCATTTCAAAATACTGATTACTTTGATTTATATTCTAAAATGTAAAAAAATCTATGGATATTGCAGTTATCATTTTGCTTTAATTGTAGTTGTATTCAAGAATACTCCTGTCAGTTTTTCTGTATCGGAGCTCTTCTTTCACGTTTTTATTGAATGTGGGCATTCTTTCTCTTTAGGCTAATGTCTACCATGCAAGTACTGCAGATGGACAAAGCAGAGCAATAAAGATTTACAAAACCTCCATCTTAATGTTTAAAGACCGTGATAAATATGTGAGTGAGGGGAATTCAGGTGAGAAAATGAAAATGCATGTGATTATCTTGTCAGGATGTTACTGTTTTACTGCATTATGGATCATAATATGCTGCCTAAGTAGAGCCAGATTTAAAGCCCCGTACACATGATGAGAATATTGGACAAATGATCGTACGTTTTTTTTTTTTTTTTTTTTTTTGGTTTGCATGCTAGTCTCATCAGAAGTTGAAGAGGTTACTAAAGTTATGAAAATTCTTGTACGACAGAATAAAGATTCGGAAGTGATGTAATGTAGTTGTATTGCATTTTCGACTAAAACTATGCTGATTAAACAAAACTTATATGATCTGGTATACAAGAGAAATGTTTCTGCTTGTCCATTTGATCAATTTCAGACAAAAGCTGTGTACTAACAGATTATCGTACGATCGCTTTGAAAGCGGTATTTTTGTACAATTTTTTTTATCACGTGTACTAGGCTTAAGGCTAGGTCGCTTAGGCCGTGGCCTTGGGTGCCACATCTGCTAGGGATGGCCCTTTGCAGCCTAAGATGTTTTATCTTGCACCGCTATCTGCTACTGTCATTTATATGTTCATATAGAACCTACAAAAACGCAGTCAATTGCTGCCATCAAAGGCATTATTAGCGAGCCACCATTGCTAATAATTTCCCCAAGCACAGATCTTCTGGCATTTCCTAGAAAGCACCCCCTTCCTTCTCACCCCTAGGGTTTTGGTGGGGTATGTTGCCTGGGCAGGAGCCGACTTCAGACATAGTATGCACCTTTGCAAGCTGGCTTGCTAAGCTGCTTCACACTGTGCTGAGCTGAGCTTGTCTGTAATAACTTAAAATTGAGACCTGCTTTCCTGAGTATGACTGTAACACTCTGTTATGCACGTGATGATTGGTGGTAGCTTCTCTTTAAGGTGTAACAATTATATCACATTATATTGTATTTATTTTATTAATATGATTTTCTTTAACTTAAAGTGTGTTTTTTTGACATGCTGACTTCATCTCCAATGCTGTTTAAAGTACCTTCAGGACTCACACCCATTTTTATTCAATGCAGTTTCATTATATGTTCATGTAACGCTAGTAATCTTGTCACGGGTTGAAATTTACCAGCAATAGCACAAGGTATCGGTATCTAGGAGTCTGTGTTGACTCGGTCGTTGGACTTGGGACTTTGGTCCCTCTGTGAGTCTATGGGTATACAAGCGCAGCTTGAAGGTGATGAAATGCATGCAGGTCAGAAGGAGGTCATCTGAGGGCTTTTTAATTAATTCAAAATCTAAGAAATGTCTCAGCTTGATGTCAAAATCAAACTGCATTTGCCCACCCACACAAGCCAATTGACACAGTCCCGTGAAATAAACTTGACCTTGACAAGCATTCTAAAGTAACAACAGTGTGACGTGGGAGCACCATAAGTCATTGTGCCTTCAAAATGATCACTTTATCCCTGATGGAAATAGACTGCCAAGAGAGAAGAAAATTATTGTGGGCAAATCATTCTCACCTAAATGTGCTCAAGGAACTGAGTTGATTATCAGCGAATTGGATAAGGAAATAAAGAGATGTTTGTAAACCACCTGCTATCTGTGCAGACACCCCAGACTAATCAGAACAAATAGGTAGCCCCGGCTCAATTTCATGACTTTTTTGCCAAGACTAGACCTAAAACCAAGGAGGATTGCATAGTGCTGACCGATGGTAGTGTGCATCATATATCGAATTTCTACACATTCCTATACATGCTGGGTACTAAGCAAATGTACAAATGCACCGATCAGCCATAACATTATGACCACTGATAGGTAAAGTGAATAATATTGATTATCTTGTGACAATGACATCTGAAGGTGGGTGGGATATATTAGGCAGGAAATGAACATGTTGTCCCTTAAGTTGATATGTTGAAAGCAGATAAAATGGGCAAGCGTAAGGATCTTAGCAACTTTGACGAGGGCCAGACTGTAATGGCTAGAAGACTGGGTCAGTCACCCCCAAACAGCAGCTGTTGTGAGATGTTCCTGGTCTGCAGCAGTCAAGACTTGCCAAATGTGGTCCAAGGAAGGAATGCCTGTGAAGTGGCAACAGGGTCCATGGCAGCCAAGGCTCATTCATGCACGTGGGGAGCAATGGTTAACCTGTGTAGTCTGATCCAATAGAAAAGCTATCATAGCTCAAATAGCGGAATTTCAAATGTCAGAACACACAGTGCATTGCAGTTTGTTGCATGTGGGAATAACTGCAGATTGATAAAGGTGCCCATGCTGACCCGTGTCCACAGCCAAAAGCACCTACAATGGGCATGTGAGCATCGCATCGGGACCACGGAACAATGGAAGAAGGTGGCCTAGTCTGATGAATTCCATAATAACTCAACAAGTTTGGGGGGCTGACTTGGCCTCCAAATTATTCAAATCTCAATCGAATCCAGCATTTGCAAAGCACGTTTAAAAACAAGTCCGATCCATGGAGGCCCCCACCTTGCAACTTACAGGACTTCAAGGACCTGCTACTGACAGATTGGTGCCAGATACCACAATATACCTTCAGAGGTCTAGTGGTGTCCAGGTCCCGGTGGGATTATATTGGTTGCTCATAATGGTATGGCTGAACAGTGTACACCGATCAGCCATAACATTATGACTACCCATCTAATATTGAGTAGGTCCCTTTTTGCTGCAAAAACAGCTCTGTACTGTCGAGGTGTGGACTCCACTTGACCTCTGCAGGTATGCTGTGGTGTCTGGAACCAAGCCATCAGTAGCAGATCACTGTCTCTACCAGCTTGACTTCTTCCCCATAGTGCATCCATCTGGACAGGGGTAACATGTTTCCTGGAACCAATGGAAAAGTTCTCGCCGGGGTTGACTAGAAGCTCTGTTGGGAGGTGACTTGCCCTGGGAATCCTTGTCTTCTGGCTTGGCAGCAATCCCCTTCATGTGATGATAATGGGGGAAGAAAGCTGTACAGTCCAGGCCTTTCCAGGGTCTGGGAGGGCCGTTGGATATGCCTTTGCCATGTTTTCCCTTGCTGGAGGTGGAATGGGGTCGCAATTGCTAGCGCAGTAGGGCTCTGTGGGCCGACCTCGACGTCCTCCTTGGTGGGGGGGAGCTTCTACACTCCACACTGGTCGCGGAAGTGACGCAACAACACTTTTGGGAGGCAAGTGACATCATCGCCGGGTGTCGGAGGAACATCAGTTCCGTTCCCCATTTACAGGCACAAGGGGGACTGTGAAGTGAAGCTGTCTTCAGCGGCAGCAGAGGCTGCTCTTGAAAGATTGGAACCCATGGATCCTTCTGTGGCTCCTGCTCTGATGGTCGACTCTGGGAATACAGGCATCAGCTCCTCAGAGGTATTTACGGCGGGAAGGGCTCCCGATTGTATACCTGTGTGGTTTTGCTTTATCAGGTGCAGCTCCTGGGGTGTTGGCTGTTTGCTGACAGGGCACTTTTTTCTTTTCTCTAGAACACAGGGTGTGTTTTTATAGCAGGAGGGTTGGAGCCTGAGGGTCTCTCTTTTTCTGTCATTGTTTACAGACTAAAACTCAGGACAAAGTTCCAGACCCTGGCTCCAAGAAGAAGAAATGTGCTGTTTGTGCGACTAAACTGGGATCTGCTTGTAACAAGCCCTTATGCTGCCCTAATAGTCTGGTTAAAGAAGACTCTACTTCAGCTTGTGTAAAATTGTTGTAATCAGTCAAAAAGGAACTTGTAACTACATTCAGCTCTGGGTGAGCCAGGCTTTTTCATAGCCAAGACCCCCTCACCCATAGAGGTCAGACCGGAAGTATCAGAAAGGGTTACAGGGATACTGTCTTCAGGCTCGTCGGGGAACGATGAAAAGGGGAATTCTTCAGAGGTAGGAGAGGAGGGGGTGGGGTCCGTGGCTAGGGTTTCTAGGTACAAACTTTCCTTAGAAAAAGTGGATGAGTTGTTGAAGGCCATTTACGAGGCTTTGGAAATAAAAGAAGACAAGGTCCAGCTCTCTAGACCTGACTTAATGTATGGGGGTCTACAGAGCAAAAAGCGCAGGGTTTTTCCTGTTCATAAATCTCTGAGGCTATTGAGTTGGAATAGAAGGAGCCAGTGCGTAAGCCTTTCTTTTCCAATTGTCTCAAAAGGAGGTTTCCCTTTTGAGGAGGGCGATGAACACCCTTGGAATAAATCCTAGATTGGATGCACCTTTTGTCGACGATTTCAAAGAAATCCAACCTGGCATTCAAGGACATGGGAGTCCTTAGGGACCCTATGGATAAAAAGGGGGGTGTCTTTCTTACAAGGGCCTGGGAGTCTACGGTGAATAGTTTCAAGCC